ATATATATATATATATATATATATATATATATATATATATATATATATATATTTGAACAAAATTTATTTTTTATTTTTAAATATTAAAAAATGTGTTTGCATTTTAGTAGCAACTAAAAACTAAATGAGGTTTGTGTGGGTCCAAAGCCATTCTGGTCCATGGGACTTTAAAAAGTGATTCTTTGTTGGGGAAGATGCACCTTCCTTTGTGAAAATTGGTCAAACTCAACAGTACGTTGAATAATGGTATGTTGATAACACAAATAGCATCAAAATGCATTGTACTAGAGGATAAAGAATTAATGATCATGTGGTGTAATTTGCACCAAATTTCAAATAACAAAAATAATACTTGAATTTTCAAAGAGATTAAAAATTACAAATTTTTACTATACCTTTTTTTTTTTTTTGGATGTGAACTTGAAGATCAAAGTTTGAGACATCAATAACGACAAGACTGAATTCGCTATACCACATAACTGCATGGGCGGAGGTACGTGAGTGGGTAGGGGGCTTTGGCCACCCCACTCCAAAAATTTTACGGAGTAATAAATATTTATGTATATATTATTATATTAAAAATAAAAATTCACTTTTGCTCCCCGTCAAATTTTTTTTTTATTCTACTATGTAGATACTCCGTATTAATAAGCTCAAAACATATATTGAAAATTCAAATTCACTAAATAAAAAGAAATAAAGCAAGTAATTAATTAGTTAGTTGTAATAAAAAAAATTAATTAGTTAGTTATTATGTATTTTTATTATTTACTTATACTTTTAGGATGTACATTTGCTAATTCAAAAGATTAGTTTTGAAATTGAAAAAACTAATGTTAATATTGATTCTTTAATTTTTGATTTTGAGTTTCGTCATCATCCCTCAAATATTGGAATATTAAGTTAATTAGTAAAATGAATATTAGTTAATTATGTAAAAAGAAATTGTTGCCAATTCAACAAAATAATAATTGACAACTTTTATTTGATAAAAGAGCGAAAAGTAAAATTATTATTATATACTCTGTATATATTTTGTGTTATGTGAAAAATTATAAAATATCGATTGACATCGATGTCAATCGTTACATAAAGTATAATTAAAAATTATTATCGATAATACATAATATAATTACTTATGGTATATATAATGATATCTGATGGATATGATGGTATACTAGGCTGATTAAAATGGATCGATCCAAAAAAATAACTGGATCAATGAATCCCAAGATCATAGAGAGTATTTTATGTAGGTGGTGAATAAGTCAATACATAAAATGAAATTTAATTTAAAAAAGTAATCTCAACCAAAATTTTGGCACGAAACCAAAATAATAAGGGATTTATTTAATAGAAAATTAATCCCACCAAAGTTGGTACGAAACCAAGAATTTATTATATAAAATAAATAAATACGAAGAAAGAGTTTTAAAATATGAGATTTAAACTCAACGAGAAGAAAAGATAAAATCTAAGTCGCGTGTACCTTACACTTTCCTTAAAACTGGTTCGCTACTTCCCAAGTGAGCTATGAGTGTTGTAGCGCCAATCTTCTAGGATAAAACGAATTATGACTTAATGTTTGAACACTCAAACAAAAAATCTAGTGAACAAGAACAGCAAGCGAGCACTTCGATTTTTTTTTTTTTTTTATAAAGGAAATGTTGGCAGAAATTTCGTGTAACAAAGGAGTTGAGAGGAGAGAGAGAAAAACTCAGATTTTGAGAGTTCAAAATCAGCAGCATTCAATTCTGCCCAACACCAAGTTTATGTATAGGAGAAGAGGAATAAATAACAATAAATACTGACATTAACATCTGAAATACTTTCAGATATGTAACCCCCAACAACTTTGATCTGGAGTTTAATTCTCAAAAATAAATTGAAATTAATTCATAATTAAGTCCTAACTTATCAGAATTAACACTGCTAGAACGGTACTCTGAAGAGTACACCCCTTGGACAGTGGCTCTGAGTTGGAAAAAATATACGAAAATTTGGCATAACTTAGCTAGACTTATTTTGGAAATTGATTTGCACTCCCACAACATGCAAGGGAGAGCCTCTATATATACTATACAATTCAACATGTTTTTAAAAGACTCTTGTATATATAGTGGTACAAATTCACTTCCCGAACCAATGTGGGACAAGTGCTTTTACAAAGTCTTTTCACCTTCATTTTCCAACTCAAATGGGTCTACTTTAAGAATCAATTTCTCATTTATTCATTATCTTTTTTTAGCGTACAATATATCAATTTTTTCGTCTCACTACGAAGAATCTGAACCCACTTTGACCCGACCCAAATAGGAAGTGGACCTACGACATATATATGTACCACAAAATAGCCACTTTCTATGTCATTTTATGCTAAAATTCCTGTTGGAAAATATGATGAACCAAGTCGATTTAACAAAATAATATTATATATATATATATATATATATATATATATATATATATATATATATATATATATATATATATATATATATATATCAACCAAAATGGAATTTATAATCCTCTAGATTATAATTCCAACCAACAAAAAAGGAGAAAGAATTTATTGCTTAAAAGCATAATCTCAAAATCGAAAGAAGAAGATGAAGAAAGAGGGTTATTAGTACGAGTCGAGCGAAACACTCTTTCCTTAAAACCTTATATGCTATCTCCCAAAAGTGCTATGAGCGTTGTAGTCTAGGTTTCCCAAGATAAAACGTACTACAGTTCAATGTTTGAGCACCCAAACGAAGAACCCGGCAAACTAGAGCACGGGCAGAATGCAATCAACAAGAACGGAGTAGGAACAGAGTTTTGAGAGAAGAAAAACTGTTGTGTGTACTTGTCTTAAAAAATCTGCGCGCTGCCCCTACACAAGCTTATATAGGAGATGGCTCGTGCTCATGATTCGGCCTTGTGCAAGGCCGAATTCAATATACAGAAATTTGACCAGTCAGCCTTTTCAGACTCACTTTGGAATTTGATTTGCAATATAGAGAAATCTGGCCAGCCAACTTAATTGATGTCATTATGATGGACCTATAATATTATTTTAATGAACTTGTGCTTGGCGCATCTCCAATGATTTGAGATTTTTTATTTTCAAGTTTTTGATGATTTTTTATTTTTTATTTTTTATTTTTTTTGAAATTGACAACAATAACAACAATAATAATAAAATGGTATGTAGTGATTTTTTTTTTTTTTTATATGAGATCATGTGATTAAACTTCAGTGGAGACGTTGTTGACATTTTGTGCTTCATTAGGTGTGGTTACCATTTGACAACTATACTTTGACATGTATGAAGATCACTCACCTATTTACACACAAGTTTCTTCCACATATATTTTTCTTTTCTTTATTTTTAATTTTTTTGGAAAATAGCACTTTTTTCCTTTAAGTTATATGCTTATAGCACCTTTTTCTCGTGAGTTATTCATGCATCCACATTTGTCCCCTCAATTATTATAAAAGTGGTGATTTTTTCCCCTGATATATTAAATGGACATTTCACCCTTAAACTAAATATTTTATTTATTTTTCTTCTTCAACAAATTATTGATTATACGTAGGGATGACCAAGGTTCGGTTCGAACTGAACTAGACACTATAGCAATCAAATCGAAATTTTTCGGTTATGATTCAGAACCAGAACCCAATTTAGTTTTCCGTTTATTAAAATCTTGATCTGGAAAAAAAATGGATCCTGAACTGTGAACGGAGGTTCAAAGCGGAACAACTACTAGCATTAGCTGAAAATTAGAGTTATAATATTTACAAATAGTGCATGTTTTTTCGCATTTATACTGACTCTCACATATAAGTATATATAACCGCGATTTGATTTTTATTTTGAACCGTCGGTTCACGGTTTTGGATCCAGTTTGAACTGTTGGTTCAAACTTTCTTTTAATTTTTTTTAAAATATTATAAATTCAACAATTAATATATTTTATTTTTTCAATTCAGAACATGAACTGACAGTTTTGATTCGTGATTTTAATAAACTCTAAATATCGGGTTCGGGTTCTAAACTGTCTTCATAACCTTTCTGTTTGGATGCTATAGTGTGTTTGGTTTGAACCAAATCGTGGTTATAATTTGTTGGAGAAGAAAAATAAATGAAATATTTATTTTAAGGATAAATATGTCCATTTAACATATCAGGTAAAAAAACTTCCACTTAAATAATTTAGGAAAAAAATACCATTAATATATAACACAGTGAAAAAAATGCCATTTTTTTTTTTTGACAAACCCAATTTGTAGCAGGAAAATCCTAACACTCCCTTTCCTCCCTTTTCTCATCCAAATCGGCTAAAACTTAAAAAAAAAAAAAAAAAAAATCAACAAAAACCTTCAATTAAAATTGCTCTTATGTTTAATCTAAGTGTAGCTTCTGGAATGGACCATTCTAGGTGATCCAAAATAATATTCAGGTTGTGTCTCATTGATATATTATGTATTTGCAATTAACCTTTTATGTATCTGTAAATAAATTGAAGGCAAACAACATATTAACTACATACACATAAATTGCAAATTACAAATACATAAATTTTTAATTGCAAGTACCCAATATATTAACTACAGACACAATTAATAATTTATGTTTCTGTAATTAACATTATATTTTATGTGTTTATAATTAACATGTTATGTGTCTTCAATTTATTTATAAATACATATAAATGATTAACTGTATATACAAAATACATTAACTATAAACCTATAATGTTTAGGCCATAATTCACGACCACATAACAATTGAAGCTCTCAACAACCCAAACATAATTCTCACCTTTTGCAGCTTCAAGAGACTTCTACCCCATTCCATACATCTTACATCTTCAAACGTGTGATTATTTGATTGGAGCGTGTAGCCTATGTCCCACAATCTAGTAGGTCTCTCCCGAAACCTCTCTCACTTTAGCAATTCACAATAAATAGACAATATATAGGCCATCACACTAATACATACTTAACCAGTACTTTATCACTCACTCTTAGCTTCTTCATATCGATCTACTCCATAGTCCAAACATCATCATGGCTTTCAGATCACAGGTAAGTAAAATTTCTTATTTTCATTTTTCCAGAGAATAATAACATTTTTAACATTTCATAATTATTTTTGTCCTTAATTATTTAATACACATTTTAAGAGAAAATTATATTTTAATCATTGACTAGTGTGGCACAGTCACATTTACTTTTATTCTTTTAATTTTACTTTGTTACATTCTTATATTTTTATTTGCTTGTCACAATTAATTTTTCGTTTAAAATTTTGTCATTTCACCGTATAATAAAGAGGGCTAATATATAATTTTATTATTCAAGTTTCTTACTCCAATAATATTTAATTTCTATCTCTCTTTTGTATATGTTTTTTAATTGAACGATGCAATTACAAGTTAGTTATATTTATTAAATATTAGAATAAAAATATTAAATTAAAAATAATTATGACAAACAAATAAAAATTAAGAAGGTAATGTTACAAAACCAAAAGTACATGATTAAATGTGATAACATCAATAACCAAAAGTGAAATTTTTATTTTATTTTTAAATTATCATTAAAAATTACAACTTTAATGCTTACCAAATTTAACTTAAAATTCTTGTATGAATTCCCCGATACAGGCTTACTTGAAATCCATGATCAATAGCTTAAGCGGGAGAGTATCAATGTATGGAACATCCACACTTCCCAACTTAAAGTCTTACGTCCCTTCTGCTGCGGCTACAGATAAGCCACTCAAACAATCTTTGCCAAGGTAATAACCTTCATTTTTTTTTTTTTAAAGTTAATTCTATTCTTATCTTAAAGTTTAAGATAACAGTCCACTTTTAGGGCGTATTTGGTCATGTCACAATAATATTAAGACCAATGAATGGTGTTTTGAAAAAAAAAAAAGTGAATTGTTATCTATAAATTTAAGATAAAAATTAGAATTAACTCAAAAAAAAAATACATTCAGAGTGTGTTCGGTTCATGGGTTTACACATTAGGAATATGAATCAAAATCACCGTGTTCGTGTTTGGTTAACAACTTTTAAAAACACAACTATGGATATGATTTGATTACCCTTTTAATTAAAAACGTCTGTCATTCCCTAACATTCCATCTTATTAGTAATCTGATTTTTAAATTTTGTATTGGTGCTTTACAGCTTTTAGATTTTTGTTTTGATTTTTTTTGTTCATATTCTTGAATGTCGTTATATTAGGATCAATTACTTTAATTTTTTATATTTGTATTTTAAACCTTTATTATCATATTATAGGGTCATACTCATACATAACAAAATATTTGTAATTATTCTCATTCTATCCTATTACAAAAATTCATTACCACTACCAAGTATTTATTCTCATTCTAATTCCAATTTCATTGTGCGAACCAAACACATTCTTAGTTCTTTTCAAAAGATTCTCATTTGGTCCTGTTATTATTGGTGTATGTATGATCATTTTTTGTCATCCATCAACAAAATCGTTGAGATGACGTTAAATACAAGAACATTTCGATCTTCTTTTATACAAAGTGGTTTGGCTCAGTTATACTTTTATTTATTTTTTATTTTTTAAATCATTATTATTGAATATTTAAATGCCTTTATATTTTATGGAATTTTACGAGGCCAGCAGGGGAAAGAAAGGAGATTTGGTGCCGGTTTACGTGGCGATAGCGATGATTGCACTGTCGACGAGTTTCGGTTTGCACACGGCCATGCACCAGCTGAAGCGCGCGCCGAATGTGTTCGTGAAAAAGTGTAGGAGAGAAACGCTGCCGGAGCTGGTGGAGCCGGAGCACGTGGCGGAGGAGTCCGATCAATTCCTCAACAAATCTTTCTTCCGGAAAGTGGCTCACATCCAACCCACGGCGGCTCATGACCCCCTCGGTTGTGTTTATACTAGGTACTTCTTCTTTTGTAACTATTATGTTAATTGATTTTTCCACTTTTGATTGGTTCAAGTCTCTTGAATTATTTTTACATTTGAGTCATGATCGATGATCGAAAATTAGACCAGAGAATCAAATGTGACAATGTTTTAAAAGTAATAAAAATAAATGTGAAAAAAATAATAATTGAAAACAAAATATGAAAGTAATTCAATAATCATGCATGAGACAAAAAGTATTTTAAAATTCGTTATTTTAAATATTTAATTAATTTAATTTTTGTATGTGAAGAATATAATTTTTTTGTGTTATTTTATAAATAATTTAAAACTTTTGAATGATTACGAAATATTACTACTTGACATACACACACATTTTTAAATCTTACCCCAAAAGGCTGAATCCCCAACCCTAAGGCCCCCACACACATTTTTAAATCTTAAATACCTTGTTGTAAGTTGGCAACAAATTTAATATCTATCTATCTACTATCTACTATACTAATAAGAGCCCAAGAGAGTTAGGCCTATAATCTACTATCTACTATCTACTATACTAATAAGAGCCCAAGAGAGTTAGGCCTATAATAGGTAGAAAAAATGGCAGTCACAGATTTTAATCAAATGAATGGCTCAGATTAATTAAAAGATTGATCAGATTTAAATTTTACACTAAAATTTCTTAAAATACCCACACACCGTTACTAATTCCGTTAAAATTTTAAGAATTGCCGTTAGTTCACCGTTAACTTACTCATTGATTTCAATAAAAAAGGGTCTTAGGTTCGAACCTCATCCCAATCAAAGTTGGCATAATTAGTACTCTATTTTACTCTTATTAAATTATATAAATAATAATTTAGTAGTTACAACAAAAAATAATACATATGCATTTCTTTAATTTAGAATTATGTGTTCACAATGTCTTTATTCAAAAAAAAAATTATTATTAATAAATTAAATAAGATAAATAATTTTATTAGTTATATTGTCTTTATTTTTCTTCAATATAAAAATTCTTTATATTCAAATTTATTAATTGATTATATTCGCTACATTGTCCTTACAATGTCTTTATTCAGTGAAAAACAAATTATTAATTATCAATAAATTAATTAAAAGAAATATTTTCATTAGTTATATTGTCTTTATTTTTCTCAAATGTAAAAATTTTTACATTCAAATTCATCAATTGATTATATTCACTACATTATCTATTATTTTTTTTGTGCACTATTTTTCTAATTAAATATCAAAGTTATAACATAAAATAATGCTATATATTTATTTACCAAGTATTTTATTAATACCATGAAAAAATTAAAAAAATATAATTAATAAAGCCAACTATATTAACTACTTGAGAGATTTTGTGACAAAGAGAGTATTCAAATCACACAACAAATTAAAGTGAGAACTACCTCGCAATGTCCTTGTTTGACAAAGAGCAGTTAGCGGTTAGTGTTAGCGGATTATACTAGCAGATTTGACCAGTGAATTTATTTAATTATTAACATTGGGTAGAAAAAATGACCGCCAAATTATTAAATCAAATGAATGGTTCATATTGTTCAGGTTTTAATTTTTTTCTTTTAAGATTTTCTAATTTATCCTTAATTATATGATTATCCATTTAACTTTTTCGTTAATTCATCGTTAGTCTAATTCTAATATTAAAGTCTAATATAGAATTATAACTACACCATTAATCTAATTCTAATATTAAAGTCTTAATAGAACTTAACCACAAATCCTAATGTCGGAATCTCCTCAAACAATATTAGTATATATTTCATATTTTATACCCTAATTTTTATTTGTTCTCCCTTATGTCCTGTATTTGGTTTCAACCATACCTATACAATTATTTTATTGACAATTATAATCAATATTGACTATATTATCTTGCATTTGTAAAATTAGAATTACCTATTTAACCCGCACGGGCTTAGCTCAATGATTTAGTGGGTAGTATTTGGGAGAAGAGACCAAGGTTTGAACCTCGGCGGCGGCAATGCGGGAATTATGTCCAAAGTGGGCAGATTCCTTGTGCGTACCAGCATTTGGCCCTGTCTGCTGAACCATTGAGTCACCGTGATTTACAACTTCCCACAATGCTCTGTCGGGTCGGAGTGTGGGGGGACCCTTGGGGTTGGGGACTCAACCTTTGGGAGAAGAATTACCTATTTAAATACGCAAATTCAACATTCAATTATCTATGCATGAACAATTTCAATATAATCTTGCCTTAATATACTTTAAAGTACTTATTTTAAAAAAAAAATATTGGGCATTATCCCAATCGCGCAATGCGCGTAAAAAACTAGTCTGACTATAAGTATTGAGTTGGATAGTTTGGATTGAGTCGGATATTTTTTAAAAAATAATTAAATAGTAAAAATTAGACAAAATAAAGTATAAGATTTTAAAATTCGGTTTGAAATTACTTAATTTAAAATGTGTAGATATAATAGTTAAAAGAAATAAAGGTGTGGGTTTTTACCAATAAGTTGAACTAACTAAATAATGGACTTTAGGTTTTAATACTATACTAGCTATTTAACTATTTAATTAAATTAGTAATTCACCCGCGCGATGCACGAGAAAAAATTATGTTATTATAAATACAAATAAAAAATAAAAAAAATATTAAAATATTTTAAATTATTTAATATAATAATATTTTTGAGCTTCCATTGGTCAAGTATTTATTATTTTTATAGAATACAAAATTACAATTAAAATTATAATTTTGTATGGTTAATGTAATATCTAATTATGTGCATATTCAAATAAACTTGACAGAATTTACATAATTACATTAATTTATTCTTAATTGTATTTCATCTATATTATAATTTTCACAATACGAATAATAACTAAGATAATTACATTTGGAAAGCAAATTTCAAATTTTGTATGTGTAAATTTAAACTATAATTGAACACATTTTTTATATGATTATATAATATATAGCTATTTTATTTTTCAAAAGTATATTTTTTATATGATTATATAAGATATAGCTATTTTATTTTTTAAATGTTGTGCTTTTTTTTTTTTATTTATTTATAATAAAGGATGTTGTGGCATTAATTGTAACATTAATTATTTTTCAAACCATATAGCTTTATTATATAATAAAGGATTGCAATTATTATTATTATTGTTATTGGTATTATAATTAACAATATTTTATGGTCTTGTGAAAATTAAATGTTGATTATCACCATTTCATTTTCACAAGACCATATGGCTTTATTATATATAGGATTGATCTTTTAATCTTTGATTTAATTAATGCTGAATTATGTTTTAACATTAATATTAATATATATTTAATAAACCAACTTGTTTGCAGGCACCCTCGGGTGGAGACGTTGAAATCTGTAGGGGTGGAGCCAATGCCATGATTATTGCGTAACGGAGAGTATTTATATATAACTATATATGTACATGTACTATTTGTAGTTTGTAAGTTATACATGTAAAATATATAACACTTAATTATTCAGTACGGGGTAGTGTTTGATAATGGCGAGGGAAAAAATTGAACATATAGAAGTCATGTTGTTTGTTGTGTTACATTATAGTATATATGCACTTGCTAGTACATATTAATTTGTTGCTATGTCTTTGGTAAACACAGTTTCGTTTCTAATTTCTACTAATTTTTCTTCTAAAGTTAGCTCTCATTCTTTAATAAACTTGCGGCATATTTAGTTCACAGAATGTCAACAGATAGGATTCAACCAACACAAACAGATCCCTAACTAACTATGTAACTACCGAAGTTCAGTTAGCCTATCATCCAACTGTATAATCAGATCATTCTATGCAGTGTACATACAGAAATATTGAATCGCACATAGGAATCAGAATCAAATACTTGGTAACGGTAATGAGTTTTAATAAAAGTATTTAGCATGTTTTGTAATAGGGTGGAATGCGAATGATTACCAATATTGCTGTTTGATTATGTATGATCTTATAATGGAAATCATAATCCAAAAAATATAGGATGCTTAATGTGCTAGCATTAATTTATGAATTTCTCCGGAACAAAATGAAAATGCACTATATATCAAAAGTAGCTAGTTCTACAGCATATTTGGAGTAATTGTTCTGTATATGTACAAGAAGAAATATAGAAGAAGAGTAATAGCTAGCATTAATTAGTCATCAAGCACGTCATTCAAATTCCTTTGAGATTTTGTCCTCTTTCTATGAACTCGATGAAATCGACCACTACTAGGAGAAGCAAGCACATGATTATGATCTCTAATAAATTTAGATATTATCCATTTGTCTTCGTCTTTTCTAGATACATAAATCATGGCTTTGCATCCTAGGCATGTTTCACCAGATGAAGGTTTTTTCCTATTGTCTCGCTCTAAATATTTTTTTGCACGGTAACCTTGCTTTGAACAAACAAACTCTTGTCCAATAACCATTTGATTCTTTCTAGACTTTTGTATGAATTACAAAACCTTCATGTTTTGCATAATTAGTGTAGCACATTAAAGCATCATCTAGTGATTGAAACTCCATTCCAATACATAACTCTATTGTCTCATTATTCACATCACTCTTCGCATTCGCACCGGTATTTTGTTCAATCTCACCTATATTAAATTCACCATTATTCACCAATTCATCATGATTGGTTTCGCTCAATTATGTAGTAATTTCACAACCATGATCTTCTTCAATTTCGATTATATTATGGTCTTTAATTTATCATGGAATGTAGCCATTATTAATCTATAAAGAAATATATAAAGGAATTAGAACACAAGTAAACCTATGAATAGGGTCATATTTCAGGTTAAAGACTATTGTCACCAAGTACCAAAATAGTAAAAAGAAATATATAATTTGCAGTAATGCAGTATACTACTGAAGAATAAGCTAAGGCACTACATGCTTAGACATTTTGGCCATGCAGCTTTCTTCCCAGTTAAAATTGACTTGTCAATTGAATCCCTTTTGGATCATGCAGCCATTTCCTTTTTCATAGTATCTTTTCTACACCACTACAAATCCAACATCTCATATTGCTCCTTATATATATGCTCAGAAAGGTTCAGAAATCACTTGCAGATTTAGAAAAATTAAATTTCTTTGTACCAACTGCTATTGGACCTACTCCTCAAACTAAGGTAAAAACTAACTTAAGTGGATAGCTAGATTTGTTACATTTTCAAGTTTTGACATAAATTCAGGTCTTAAGAGTAAACTGTATGTTGAAAAGTTCACTGAGAAAATCCAGCATACATTCCTTGATTACTTGGCATCAGGTTATGAACTTAACTTCATGGTGGCTGCATGTTGACTTTACTGGTATGTTTGAATTCATGCAGATATATATATATATATATATATATATATTTGTAATTGCCCCCAAAAGGTTATGACTGCTTGTACAGCATATTTGGAGTAATTGTTCTGTATATGTACAAAAAGAAATACAGAAGAAGAGTAATAGCATTAATTATTCAGCAGTTGAAATGTATGTATGCATTCACATTCTCTAGCATTATCCATTGTCAACTAAAGCATCCTGCTCCTACAAATAGTTTCAACATAATGAAAACTTGTTCTATGAACTAACAAAATCATACTAAAGCAGTAATAAAAACCAATCATCTTAAACTTGTCTTCCTCCACAAAGTAGCACTTGTCTTCCTCCACCAGCAACAACAAAAATCCAAAATATCAACCAACCAACTTTAACTTTGTACCCACTATGGGTTAGCAGCTGAGCCAAGATGGATACAACAATGAAAAGATATACTGCCTCTTGTGCTCAATATCTAGTTGAGAAAACAGATTTAGTGTAGAAGAATCCTTTAACAAGATGGTCGGTTGCAGCACGAATCATCTCTGAACTAGAGTTGCTCAACCACCGTACTAGTCGTTTTTGCAAAAATTAATAGGATAACTACTGGTTTGTTTGCAAAAATTAAAAACCAAACAAAAGCTATAAATGGAGTCATGGAGTCTTCAGAGTAGCGACGAAGCACGGCCAAGAGTTGTCTACTGATGAAGCGGCAGAAGTGCCGCCGAGACTAGCGAGCAGCTAAGTGATTTTCTCAAATTCACTTATATGGTTAAGGTTTGTTTAATGGTGAAAAGAAAATCAATTTGTCTTATAAAAATTAAACCTTTATAATTATATTATATTCTGTCTTTTGAAATTAAAACAATTTCATATCGAATTTAGCACTTCTTCTGCAAATTTTTTATAATAAGTACACTCAAACTATTTACAAAATAAGTAAATCGTCTATTGTGACTCAAGAACACTAATTGTAAGTTCATTTTGGGAATGATCACTTACCTCTCGATGAGAAGTAGAAGCATTAGCATTGGAATTGGCACTGGAATGGCTAGCAACAAAGGCAGGCTCTTTAAGTGTCGGAATTGGTGCTGCAGGGTCATTGCTCAACATGAGCACTACTTCGGTCATACTTGGTCTATCTTTAGGGATTGCTTGGACGCATAAAAGTCCCACCTCGATGCACCTTACGACCTTGAGAGAGTCACACGATGCACTTATTGCTAGATCAACAAATTTAAGTGCTCGTCCCCCTTTCCAGTTTTCCCAAGCCTAATACAAAGAAAACCAAAAGAAACCATAATGTTGTTTCTTTTATCTCCTGCATATAATTTGTATGTTGTAGCTTGGCAATCAGCTTCAGCTCGTTCATGAACTCCTCCAGACCTTGCGATGATCGCTTCGATAGCCTTTTAAGGGCTACCATCCCGAGTGATACGCGTGCGATGTGCGTGCAATGCGCGTGCGATGTGCGTGCAATGCGCGTGCGATGTGCGTGCAATGCGCGTGCGATGTGCGTGCGATACGTGCAATGCACGGATAAAATGTATATTACTGGCTTCAATTCTGCTCAAACATAAACAAAAATCAGTGTATAATGAAGTGGTCACCTTATACACCGGGCCAAAATCGTCCTCTCCAAGTTTGTTTGATGCGTCAAAGTTATTCGTAGCATCAATAATTCTCTGCAAGCTGAAGTGCAGCAACTCTATTTCGTCGTTTCCAACGGGGGGTAAAGTTGACAACGAGTTAACCACTGCAAAACTTATATCTGTATTCACATTTCACAGAGATGATTATATATAAGATGATATGAAATGAAGCAATTAGTTTATAGCTAGCTAGGAATGACATACATACTCAGAGTGTGTACCTTTGCTTTTGATGCATTTTAGTGTGAGCAGTATACACACCAAAACACAAAGTAGTAAGAATGCAGAGACTGGACCAACAATTTTTGCAACAAGTTGATGATCCGAATCTCCATTTCCACTGCTTCCATTACCTGCATGAACATCATTAAAGAAAAGATCAGATATGATGTACATAGGAAACAACATCTTTGAAGGATGCAATAGCAGCTTAATCCTAACACTACCTAGCTCAGAGGAATGAACACGAACATAAAGATCATGCCCGAAACCACTGAGACCAATAGAATACATGTATGTTAAATCAACCAAATTGCCGAACCAATTGAAGCAATTGGCAAGAACGGAGCCGTATGAGGCGAGAGTCTCACGTACGGTTCCTTTGAGAAGGGTGTGATACCACCACCTATCAGGCCCGACGAGCTGTCCACGGAGCTGGAGCTGCCACAGGCTTGGAAAATTAGAGAATTTTCCAGAAATTTGGAGAATTGAAGAAGTGGAAAAATGAAAATTGGAGAACTTGTTTACTAAATTTATTCTTCCAAATTCATCTCATCTTCATTCTTCCACTTCTAATACAAATTTGGAGAAAGCAAAATAATCATTCTCCAAATGGAGGAATGGAATGCATGGGTGAACAGTGGTATTTGATTTGTATAGTTACAGTTTGATGTGCCAAATTTTGAGTAGTAGGAAAAAGAAGAGAAACCTGGGAGAGAAGAGCTCAGAGAAGGTTGAGGGAGAATTCAGTTGCAGATTGTCGGAAATTGGTGGCGCTGCTGCCGGAGACCGGAGTTGGGTCGTCGTTTGTTTTTACTTTTCACTTTCACCGATTTTTTTTTTTTTTTTTTTTTTTTTTTTTTTTTTTAAATTTTTGTAATTTAAATATGTCCATATGGATTTTAATTACCAAAGAAAGAAGTTAAAAAATAATTGATTTTATTGCAAATTTAATCTTATTTAGTATTCAAAGAAAGATGTGGCGCGAATACAAAATGTTTCCATTAGCCACCAACCAATAACAGATTAACAATCATTTGTCGTTTTCAAAAATGTGTAAAAGTAGTATAAAGTATAATTCCAATTATCTGCATATTATGGAAAAGAAATAGACATGTTCATAATTTACACTAAATAATAAAACAACAATATTAGACCAAATACTAATTTACAATTGAATTTAAACAAAACATGATATATTTAGCCTAATATTCTAACAGTTTATATGTGTGAATTTATTTATTGAAAGATTAGTCCAATGCATGATATTGGTAAGGCCACACAACAAAATATTAACCTTACAATATCAACAACGTATAGTTTCACTATGTCCAAAACTTCCTCTTTTTATTATGTGAATCAATTAGTTAAATTGGATA